TTTAGGTTTGTCAAAGATAGGCAAAGCGGGAGTATCTTCCACCTCCAAATGTTCAAGAAACTCAAACCGAGGGCATTTTCCTCTAGACGAGGAAGCTCTAGGAGTATCAGATGAAAAAAGATGGGAAAAATGTGTTTGGGCTTGGTGGGCTAACTAAAAAGTTTCAGCTGAGACTCTTACAGTAGCATGCTGAGAAGAATTGGGATCAGAGGTAGATCCAAAAGAAGTAATTCTGACTAGGGTAGAATTAGAAGAAGACGGATCTTGTTGAGTAGGGATGTACACAGGTCGGTTCGGTTTTGTTATACATAGTTTTTACAACCAAACCGACTATGCCGGGTTGACTACTAAATCAATCAAAACCGACCCAGAGAAATAAAAAACCGACTTGCAATAAAAGCAACCAATCGGTTGGTTTGTTCGGTTTCAACCGAAACTTCATCTCGAAGCCATCAAGCACTTCATCACTTTGATGTTGCCACTTGCAAGGCTCAGATTAGGCCCGAGAGCTAGGCCTAAGACTTGCCATAATATACCTAAGAGCTAGGCCTAAGGCTCAGACCTACAAGGCTCAAATTAGACCTGAGAGCTAGGCCTAAGGCTTGTCGTACTATACTTGAGAGTTGGGCCTAAGGATCATATTAGACTACTTACTAATGTCCTATTAGCATTAAAAATCCCGACTTATCGTAAGAGCTAGGCCTAAGACTCAGGTTTGACTTCACACTTCCACCCTCTTGCACATTATCTCATAAAAAGACTTTTATCTTTTTTGCTTTTTTTGCAAAGATTAAACTAGAACATGCATGCATCATTCATATGACAGGTTCGGGTTGGTTTACTTTGGTTTACAAAGTTATAATCCGCAATTGAACCTGATGTTGCACGATCTGGGCACTCCTAGCTGGCTGAAACTTGGCTCCTAGCTGTGATAGACGGCACCTGAGATGAAGAGGAACGTGAAGGGTTCCCGGGGAGCTCTCCCGGCGGGAACACTCCGATGGCTAAGTTAGAACTCTAAGGAAAACTAAAGGAAAACACAGAGAGTTAAGAGTGCTGAAAGTGCTAGCTTCAATACCTTTGCTTCGTGAGGGTCGGGGTCCTCTTATACCGGAGCTCAGTCACATCAGGCGTAACCGCCACTGCCCTAGCCGTTACTGCCAGGGCTGAGGTAGCAGGTGCAGGCTGCTGCTGCTGCAGGGTATGGACTCGTCAGGCGTGCCATGCTTTTCAGAGATGGCAAGCATGGCACTGCCTAGCAAGAAATGTGGGCGCTGCCACCAGATCCGATAGGTACGGATGTCAGGCAGATCTTCCCTATAGGCAACCGAGCTACTTTACACCGAACTGCCTGGGGCTGGGTTGCCTTGCACCGAGGTGCCGAGGTACACCGAGGTGCTCGCACTGGAGGCGAGCCTTAAGCAAGTACGAACAGGAGTCTTGACGGTGTTGTCCTGAGGTGTTTTCCCCTCAGGACACTTAGCCAAAAGCAGGGGTGCTCCCTTCTTAGGGAGGGAGAGCTCGGAGCCCCTTAGGAGGAGCTTGGGTCTCAAGGGGAGCTTGGGTCCCTTTGCACGGAGGGAGCTCGGGGCGCTCCACCCCAGGCTTGGGGCGAGCTGGGCCTTGCTCCTCAGTGAGTTGTCACATCCGCCGAGTTGCTTGGTCGGGCCTCGGCGAGCTTGTTACGCCGAGTTGTTGCCAGGCTATCACGTTGAGTTGTCACTTATGCCAGGTCATGTCCACGTGTCCCCGTGCTACGAGGTTGGGCCAGATCACCCTACATCAATTGCCCTCCACTCCCCGTGCTCGGGGTTCTGACCCAGCACGGGGAGTCCGCGGTCTGCCGGGTGGATTTGGCTCGGGGCCTAAGCTTTCTTGTCCACCAGCTCATCGGTTGGATCGGTTCTCTATTCGGTTCTACCAGGCGCAGCTTGGGTCGCATATGGTCTACGCGTGGACGTCACGCGACTTATGGAATCTGTGGACGTCAAAAAATGTGCTAAACCGATTTTGCCTCGAGGGTCGCATAGCCGGTTTTTATGAGGACCGTTAGATGGCTTCGATCTCAACCGTTGATGCCCGCGTATAGTGGTTATAAATAGCGGGGGTCCTGGCCATTTTCCTTCGCCACAAATCCTTAGCCATAGTCTTGAGCTCGCATCCAAAGCCTCCAGCTCGGGTCAGTTCTCCCCAGTCCGGTTCATCTTTCTTTGGTGAGTCACCCTAGCTCCTCTTCAATTCAGTTTAGTTATGTCTTCTTTCAATAGTCAGTTAGATGAGTCCGAGATGGGTACCTCGGCTCAGAGTGACCCCGCTGGAGTCCAGTCCCCCGAGGCGCGGGTGGCCTTAGGTAACTTGGCGTCCACCTCCCACCGAGGTCGAATGCCGCACAGGTTTGAACCCTCTACCATGACCCTGAAGAGGCTCCGCTATCTTATTCAGTAGTACAACCTGCCCAGGGAGTACACCTATAGTTTACCTACAGGTAACTTCCCATGGGAGCACGGCCCTGACGAGGTCGTGATCTTCCAGGAGCAGCTCATAGTCGGGCTCCGCCTTCCCTTCTATCCACTTATAGTGGAGGTCCTGAACCACTTTAACGTTCGATAGACCAGCTCCACCCGAACTCGGTCTGTAACGTGGTCGGGACCATCTCCCTCTGCTATGAGTATGTCCTCCCCCTATACTTGGACATATTCTGTTCCATCCTCATAGTAAAGAAGAGCGCTTCATGCGTTCTCCCCGAGCACAGGAGGGCATATTACTTGTCCCCTCGCCCAGGCTTCAAGTTAATGCATAAGCTTCCAAGCAAGATCCCCACTTGAAAGCAGGACCACTTCGTAGTTCAGAACCCTGCGGGGTGGCCCTTCCCTACCCACTGAAGGGTGGCTATCCAGGTTTTACATCACCGATATTCCTCATGTGCAACTAGATGAACATGGACAGCGATGTGTTGTTAGAGGATCTGGACTTCGTCTCCTTGAGGCAAACCTACTTTGGTCCTACTTCTACAGGCATAAAAGGATAAGCTTTGACTTTGAAATCGTTTGATTGAAGACTGTTGGGCAATGGGCCTTTACTGCGTTTGTCATGTGCTTCCATTTGGTTTTTGACCGATGTCCCATTAAGTGTATGTAATCTATGTATCCATAGCAGTGACTCGGGCAATATATAGGTTGCTATCTTAAAAATGTATTTTTAAGAGAAAAAAAGAAGCAACAATGATTTCACCAAAATCTCTATTTCTTTTGTATATAAAAAATAGTATGAGGCCAAAGTCTAACATCAATTAGTAATTTAGTTGGTTTTGTCGAGTATATCGGTGTTATATGAAGAGGTCTAAATTTGAAGTGGCCTAGCGAGAGTGGTAATCGTGCTGATTTTCTACTTCACCAATAAAAAAGATATATTAAAAATGCAATGTGAAAAAAAGAGGTTGTACATATGTACCTTATTGTTGACCAATTTACTTTGAAGTTAAAGTTAATATTAAAATGAAAGAGTTAACATTTTATTTAAGAATTAGGATGGCAATTTTCCCTATCTTCGATGGGCATCCGACTTCCCCAATCCAATAGATTCAACTTTGGCAGAGAGGGAACGGGTATGGGGATTAATAGGGATCTTCGACCAGGGTTGGGGGTCAGGCAGAGGGAATGAGGTCCCCGCCCCTCCCCGACCCGATTATTAATTTATAATATTATACATATGATATCATTTATATATATCAAAATATATTCAAAATATTATTTATATTTTAAAATTTTTATTTATTTTAAATAAATTTATTTTTGAAAAAATAATATTAACTAAAAAATTTTGGGGATTTGGGTTCCCATGGGGAACCCGTCCCCATTAGGGATTGGGGATGGAGGACACTAGGGTCGGGGATGGGGAATATGATCCCCACCTCGAACCCGCCCCATTGTCATTCCTATTAAGAATGTCTTATTATTTAATTAATTTAGTTAAATTATTAGTAAATTAAGTCAATTAATTTAATTAATCAACTCATTTAAATTATAACTCATTAGTTTTTATTGAGTATATGTTACGAATTTAACAAATTAGTCAAACTTAATTATTGTTAATTTATTAAGCAATATACACTTACTTATTTAAGGTCAACATATTTAACTTACTAATTTAAATAAATGCAGTTAAGTAACTTAATTGCTTATTCTACTTAATTCCCCACTTTCCTTTGGAAACCACCTTGGCACCTCAGCCCATGAATAAGAAAAAGAAAACGTCTTTCCAATCAACTTCCCAAAATTCAAAAATGTGTTGGGAAGTATCTCTATGAGATATGCACCAATCAAAATAGAGTATTTTAGGAGAGAATGGTAGATAGAAATACTTTAGATAAGAGAGATTTTAGGAATTAATTAGAGAGTAGGGTAAAAGGAGATATCTTAGAAGAAAAATTCTTGGAGTATTTTTAGATAATTGGGTTGGGAATAAATAAATAGAACTTATTGACATGACATAATGAAAATAGTGGGAAAGGGGAATGGGAGAGAATTAAGGAAAGAGCAGCATGGAGGGTTTGGAATATAAAGAAACCCTCTCACCTGCACTACCTTGCTTTATATATATAGCATAGATGATAGCACAGATGTATAGAATACCTTGTGATAGCCTGAATGGAAATGTACAAGCATAATACAAACAAATGCAATAGATCCAAGCTTATAAATCCTCTAAATAACGGGTGCAAACGTTTACAGTTTACGGTTCTTTTCTTATAGGGAAAATCTATGATATGGAAAAAATATGGTATGGAAGGAGTTTTAATCAATCAAAACTCACCCATGAATTTTGATAAAGATAAACATAGATGAGAGGAGGTTTCTCTCTCTCTCCAGGCCCACTCTCCCAAGAAAGGGTAGCTCATGATTTTATTTTAACTTTACTTTTCATTTACCAGCGGTCTGTATCGCCAGCCCATCTTTATTGTAGTGAGCTAACCATGCTAATTTGCCTTTTACAGTGGATACATGGCTCCAGAGTATGTTAGGGAAGGGTTATTCTCTGTGAAATCTGATGTTTTCAGCTTTGGAGTACTTCTTCTAGAGATTATAAGTGGAAAAAGAAATAGTGGCTTCTATCTTTCAGAGCATGCTCAAAGCCTCCTCAAATTTGTAGGTTCCTTGAATTATTTATTTGTTTTCCTAACCTAGTTGGAGATTTTGTTCTATATAAATTCTGAATGTAAAATTGCAGGCATGGAAACTTTGGTGTGAGGACAAAGGCTTGGAGTTGATGGATCCATCGTTAGTAGAGTCATGTGTGCCATGTGAAGTAATGAAATGTATTCACATCGGATTATTATGTGTTCAAGAGGATGCAGCAGATAGACCCACAATGTCATCTGTGGTTCTAATGTTAGGAAGCAACTCTATAACCCTTCCTAAGCCTACCCAACCTGCATTTTCTGTGGGACGAGTTGCTGGAGTATCAGAACCATCCTCTAAAATTGCTAAATTCTGTTCAATTAATGAGGTAACAGTTTCTAGTGTCTCTCCCAGATAAGTAACTAGTTAGATGGAGGTCATTGGTCTGATATAAAAATAAAACCCACGAGCTACCTAAAAAGGAAATGCTTTTGCGTCTTGAGCAAAACGATGAGAAATTAAAGGACGTAATTAAGCTTATTTGCTTATTTATTTTAGTAGAATGAAATTATGAACATCGTGGGAAAATAATCTTGATGACTAGACAAGCATTTCAACTCAACTCCACGTTGCTTTGCTTGATCTCTTCTTATCATTGTTGATGGTTTGATGAACTCGAAAGGATTAATTATATATGGTTGTGTTTAGTACCCTTGCACTTCTATTTGCAACATTTTATATTGGTTAATATAAATTTTATAAGAATATAATTCTTTCTACCACAAATGCTTTGACTAGAAATATACAACTAGTTTGTTTCATATATATAGCTTATCTACCAATTATTGATTTTCTCTATATTTGCTTCTGCGACGCTTGGGGGTGATCGTTTCCCAAGTGGTTGTAATTTCTTTCCATACAACACTCATACCAGCAGCCTGCATAGTGTCCCGAAGAGTCTGAGAATCACCCCTAAATATAGAATGTTGCAAGATATAAATCAATCGTACCAACATGCGAACACAATGTTTTTTAACCGTTGTTGACTTGGATGGTCGGACCATTCGGATCGGAAATCGTTTAGGTGACCGATTTCGTTTTATCCCAAATCTGGTCTTTGGTCATAAACCATTGAATTAGTCAACAAATGGTTGACCCAGACAGTTTGATCGTTGAATCGTTCGACTAGGAGAATGGTTCTTCTTCTCTCTCTATTAAGCTCTCTCAGCCATTGGTAGCTTCTCACATCTCTCTCATTTTCAAACAATCAAACCCTTTTTCTCTTCTATTTATATGCATCTTACCCTAATATTCCAATCTAATGGGTAAGATGACATATCATCATTTATAATATTTAAACCGTTTGACCAAATGGTCGAACCGCTTACCTGGAAACTGGTGGCTAGAATAGTTCTGTTTTGGGGTCAGACTTTAAAACCTTGTGAGAACAAACAAAGCCTCGTCAGTTGAGAGGCTTTAGGCTGCATTTGGGATTGCAACAGGTTTTTTGTTCTTTTCATGTTAGAAAAGTCAAAAATAGTTAAACAATCATTTAACGAAAAAGCTCTATATGGGCTTTTTGCCTTAAAACTTGTTTTTCTTTAATCCCAAACTTCACTCTAGGTGGAGGGGCGGTCACCTTTAGATTTTACTAGTAAGTGTGCACATGCTTTGCATGTGGTAATTTTTTATGATGATGATGATGATACTGGTAGTAAATAATATGTTTCCAATTTTTTTATAATTCTTTTATATTTCCGTGTCTATAAAAATAATTCATATTTGTCACACTTATTTTTGTTTAATATGATGAATATATGATATTATAGAAATGCTCAAGTGCTTTTAATATATAATTTTTTGTTTTGTTTTTTTTTACTTTTGTGTGTTTTATTTTAATTATAGAAATGCTCAAAAGTTGAATTGTTGATTCACCACCAAACTAGAAAGCAACTCTATTTTTGCATTGGTGCTAAATTTGTATTTTATTTGTATCGTTAATAAAATAATTATTCTTTACCACATTTATTTTTATATATAATTTATGGCCTATTTGGCATCACTCCTAAAAATTAATTCTAGTGATTCTCTTGATTCTCTGGATGAGAATGCCATTTGGGATGAGATTTCCGAAATTGCAATGAAAAGAATCTCACTTTTGAGAATTGAGAATGTCATTCTCTCAATTCTCGCTATGTTTTTTCGTTTTTTTAATTAATGAACACGTGTGTTCATATAACATGTGAAAGTGGGGGCAAAGTTGTAAAATGCTCTTTCATTTATAACACCTATCAAACGTACAATAGCACTAAAACCCTTCACTTCTTAGAGCCTCATCGGTGTTCCATCATCGTCGTTCACCAAAGAAGCCTCTTCAATGTTCGATCGTCGAGACAGACAACCACTCTGATGATGACTATAGTCGCAAGTGGTTTGTCTTTGTTTTTTCTCGTATGATTTAGGTGTTTTTCTTGGTTTATGCCAGTCATCGATTAATGCTAATTGGCAATGTGCAAACAATCAAACCAAGGAGTGGTATTTAGTCTATATTTGAACAAAGTATTGGTGATTAATGGTTTGCGTTGAATGAAAAAGGTGGTCTGTGTTTGAACAGAAGGGGAGGGAGAGAGAGATGTTCATCAAACAAACTAGTGGTTCCATCCATCGGTGGTCGATCCATCAATGATAACCGAATGGAGTGTTTCTTGATCATTAATACTTTCAAATGCTTTGTTATCTTTATGGTTTGAATCTTCTACTTTTACAGTCATCATATATGATGATTGGTATTGTCCAAAAGATGAACGGTGTTGGTGTTTTCCCCATTCCATTCGCCATTGTTGCTTTTCAAAATTCAATGCCATTGCCCACTATTGTCTTTTCACTATTTCAGGGGAGAAGATTTCACTGATTGAAGTGGATGTAATCCTTTTGTCTTATCTAGACGTTGCTAAGGCAGTTGCTTGTGGTGACCAAACATCATTTTGAGTTTTAGAAATAAGAATCAAAATTATATGCCAAATGCCCCTAATGTTTCTCAGAATGTAAAAATTTCTCAGAATTCATTATTTTTTGGAATGATTCTCAGTGAGAATTTTTAAAATTGATGCTTAATGGGCTTTAATATAGAATTCAATGAAATGATGAGAATTAATACATTAAATACAAAACTTAATGAGAGGTAATTGAATGAAGAGAAAAGCAATAGTTCAAATTACATTATGTGGCCTCACATAGACCAAATTCAAAAATGGGAGTTATTGTAGTCAAGAATAGGATTCAATAAATGTTAACGAGACTTAATGCCTTAAATATAAGTGCTGCTAAGAGGAATTTGAATGAAAAGAAAAGTGGTTGTTTAAATTATATTTCTATCCTTATAATTAGAAAATAACCAAACCCAAAAAGTTGGGATATTTTAATTAAATAAAAATTCCACACTCTCATTCACACTTTTAATAATAGTATAGGCTATAGATTAATCAAAAACAAAAATTGGAATCAATAATACATGGGAGGACATAACTTGTCCCAAACCTGAGATGCATCAAGCTCTTCCTTTGACATGCACACCCACCCAAAGGAAAGCAATTAAACATACATGATAATTGGTGAAAGCTCATCACCCGCCAAAAATACTTCCTTTAGCTTTTTACATTTACAATAAGTTATTTTGAAAAAAAAGGGATTCTATCCAATATGGGCAACTTTTTGCCCCTAAAGTATCAGCTACAACATTCTTCCGTCCTCTTCTAGTATACCCCATGAGCTTGCTTGGTTATCAATCTTTGTTGCGTTGGGGTATGCGATCTCTATTGGAGGATGATGACTAAACTCCGGTGATCCATCAAAATGTGGAACTTTGCACTCGTAAGGTAGTGTCGCCATTTTAGGACTATTGAAACTACTGCAAGCAACTCCTTATCATAAGTAGAAAGAGCCAAATTTCTCTCATGTACTCGGCCTATTGTGTTGAGTAGGAATAGCCCCTATGCCAGTATTACAAGCATCTGTTTCTACAGTAAATTCTTGAGAAAATTTTGGAAGAACTAAAATGGAGGTTGCTACCATTGCTTGTTTAAGTAGGTTGAAGGCTTGGTTGACTTTCTCGGTCCATTTCCATTCTACTTTCTTAAGAAACTAGGTCAGGGGTTGAGTTATAATCCCCATGCCCTTGGACAAATTTTCTATAGTAGCTTGTAAGGCCCAAAAGCCCTCTCAAGGCCTTGGGTGATCCGGGTTGTGGCTACTTTGTGATACTTCTGACCTTGTTCGGGTCCATTTCAACACCTAGGGCTTAGATGATATGGCCCCAAGTTCCCCACTCTATCTACAACAAAATGACACTTAGTTTAATAAGCAACTAACGCTGCCCAAGGGTACTCGGAACAAGTTGCAAATGTGCCTCCATGGAGCTGCTAAACATCAATATATTATCAAAAAATACCAAAACAAACCGCCATAAATAACTTTTAAAAACTTCATTCATCAAGGCCTGAAACGAAGATGGGGTATTAGTGTGTTCAAAGGGCATTACAAGAAACTCATAGTGACCTTAATGTGTACGGAATGCAGTCTTGGCTCTATCTTCCCCTTTGATTCTAATTTGATGATAACCGGATCTAAGGTCTGCCCTAGAGAAGACCCTACTTCGTGTAGTTCATTTAACAGCTTGTCAATTATCAGTATAGGGAACCTATGCTTGACTTTTACAGCATTCAGGTCTCTATAGTCTACACACAACCACAAACCACCATCCTTTTTGTGAATTCACATTTGCGCCCCACAAGGGGGCGCCCCACAGCACATCTCAACTTTATATTGGAAACATCTGCCGATGATGTCTTATCATCTTCCATACTTATCCTTCGTAGATGTTCCTAATACAAGGTCAGGATGTTCTGTGGGGCATTGTGGGGTGTCCCCTTATGGGGCACAGATGTGAACTCCCTTTTTGTGGACCAATAATATTAGAGCTGAAAACGGGCTGCTACTGGGCCCGATAATTCCAAAATTTAACATCTCCTTGATTAGCACCTTAATCTCCCTTTTTTGATAGTGAGGGTACTGGTATGACCTTACATTCATGGGCGTGGTTCCCTCAATTAGTTTGATGGCGCGATCATGGGCCCTAGGGGAAGGTAGGCCCATGGAATCCCTAAGCACATCTGAGAATGAGTACAACATTTCCTGAATCTCCGGACTCCGGATGGGCCTGTGGGTTGTTGGTGTCTGTGACAGGTGAAACCCAATGCAGAATGAAAACTTCATGGGCCTTACTCAGGGCCTTGGCTGCTGGTTCTGCTTCCAACACCCTTGGTTGAGAATATTTCACCCCTTTTAGTTCATGGTCTGAAAACCTAAGCCACTGTTCGTCGAAATTCTACAAAACTGGGCCCAGTGTCTTCAACCACTACA